AAATTTCTTGAAAATTTAATCGTTATTTCACGCATAATATATTTGTCCAATAACTATAATTTTGTTGTATACATTTCTTCCTGGTGTGAGCAATTTTAATGGCCAGTAGTGTATTTATGTTTATATGCTAAAAAATGTATGTTTGAAAGTTGTATGTGTTTAGTTAAATGAAAGATTACCTGAATTAAATCCAATAAAAAACCGTCCAATAATTAGCATTTCATAAGAGCTGGCAGCTTTCGATGCGCCCATGAAAATGGCTGCGAGGATAACAAAGATGTTATTTAGCAGGAGACCCCCTTTGCGACCGAATCTTTCGGCCACGAAAGCTGTGAGAAGAGCTCCAGCCATGCCGCCCACGCAGAAGATGGACACCAGGATAGAGAAGATCATGGTCACCGTAGTTTCACCAGCGACGGTTTCAAATCTCTCGAAGTATGTATCATTGATGAACTTTTGAATGAGCTAAAGTACAGAAAGAAATTCAATATTATATCATCGTAATTATTCATTTATTACTATAATTAACGTCTATAATTATTTAAAAGTCCTACACGTGTTTTAGTCATAGTGCGAGCTATTTGTTTTAAAAAGAGCGAAATTTTTACTTCCTATGTGTTTCTGTCTTTGCTTAGAAGACTATTAGTTTCTCAAAAAATAATAAGAAGAAGAAACACAAGGGACTGTGGGACAAGACACTGTGAAAATTGTGACAGTATCACACTGACAGTTAAATGACTTGAATTGTGACACCCACAGTTGAATGTCTGGTTCGAGTTTTCAGGGTTTCCGTCTAATGCGAGAGACTTACCCCTGAAAATCCCCCTAGAAGCCTTATTATCCTTCCATTATTTTCCCCATTATTCCTTAGCATCCTTCCCACCTGTACTGAAATTTTTACTTTCTTTGTGTTCCTGACTTTGTTTGAGGATTGTTAGTTTCTCAAAGAATAATAATAACAAACTTAGAAACACAAAGGGATTTTCACCGTGTAGACACTAAAAATTGTGACAGTATCACATTGACAGTTAATGACTTGAATTGTGACATCCACAGTTGAATGCCTGGTTTGAGTTTTCAGGGTTTTTGCCTAATGCGAGAGACTTACCCCTGAAAATCCCCCTAGAAGCCTTATTATCCTTCCATTATTTTCCCCATTATTCCTTAGCATCCTTCCCTTCTGTACTGAAATTTTTACTTTCTTTGTGTTTCTGACTCTGTTTGAAGATTGTTAGTTTCTTAAAGAATAATAATAACAAACTTAGAAACACAAAGGGATTTTCACCGTGTAGACACTAAAAATTGTGACAGTATCACATTGACAGTTAATGACTTGAATTGTGACATCCACAGTTGAATGCCTGGTTTGAGTTTTCAGGGTTTCCGTCTAATGCGAGAGACTTACCCCTGAAAATCCCCCTAGAAGCCTTATTATCCTTCCATTATTTTCCCCATTATTCCTTAGCATCCTTCCCTTCTGTACTGAAATTTTTACTTTCTTTGTGTTTCTGACTCTGTTTGAAGATTGTTAGTTTCTTAAAGAATAATAATAACAAACTTAGAAACACAAAGAGATTTTTACCGTGTAGACACTAAAAATTGTGACAGTATCACATTGACAGTTAATGACTTGAATTGTGACATCCACAGTTGAATGCCTGGTTTGAGTTTTCAGGGTTTTTGCCTAATGCGAGAGACTTACCCCTGAAAATCCCCCTAGAAGCCTTATTATCCTTCCATTATTTTCCCCATTATTCCTTAGCATCCTTCCCACCTGTACTGAAATTTTTACTTTCTTTGTGTTTCTGACTTTGTTTGAGGATTGTTAGTTTCTCAAAGAATAATAATAACAAACTTAGAAACACAAAGGGATTTTCACCGTGTAGACACTAAAAATTGTGACAGTATCACATTGACAGTTAATGACTTGAATTGTGACATCCACAGTTGAATGCCTGGTTTGAGTTTTCAGGGTTTCCGTCTAATGCGAGAGACTTACCCCTGAAAATCCCCCCAGAAGCCTTATTATCCTTCCATTATTTTCCTCATTATTCCTTAGCATCCTTCCCTCCTGTACTGAAATTTTTACTTTCATTTGTGTTTCTGACTTTGTTTGGGGATTGTTAGTTTCTCAAAGAATAATAATAACAAACTTAGAAACACAAAGGGATTTTACCGTGTAGACACTAAAAATTGTGACAGTATCACATTGACAGTTAATGACTTGAATTGTGACATCCACAGTTGAATGCCTGGTTTGAGTTTTCAGGGTTTCCGTCTAATGCGAGAGAGTTACCCCTGAAAATCCCCTCAGAAGAATTATTCCTTCCCTCATGTAAATGCATCGTAACAACTCCTACGTGGTGCACCTGGGTAATGCTGAATCCTCTACAATTTTAACAATATCAACGAAGATTGATAAAAATGAAAGTGCCCGTCCTTGTCCCCATAATAATTATAATTATTTATTGAATTTAAGATTCTGTTCCATTTTAATAAATGAGGTAATTAAATATATTTAAAATTTTATTGAAAGCTTCCCAAAAATTTAGATTAAAATAGATATGGAGATATTTAGAAGATCATATGAAAAGATGAATAATTATTTCTGGAAGATTGATGTTTAATTAATAAGAAGTAAAAAATCATTATATTTTTAAATCACTTGTGAAAAAGTTGTTCATTGGGCTTAGAAAAGTGACAAAAAATGATGAATTATGACTTTTGAAGAAAGCATTTAAAATCCATTTTAGTTCTTTCTGGAGTTAATGAGTGCTACCATGAAAATGTTTCAGAAAACTCCTATTTATTTTTTACTAAGGAATGTTTTCAAAAATCTTCTTTAATTGTTATGTAGAATATTCTTCAGTATGATGTTTAATATAACATCCACTTGCATCCACATTATATGAAATTTCAAGGTTTTTTTCTAATAAAGTCTGTCCTCCTTCTGAAATAAGTGACAAAAATCACCAGTTTTAATTCAGCTAATCTATTGATTGATTTAAGGTTGACATCTCTGACGTCAAGGCATTCTCAGTAAAAGAGAACAGAACCAATTGAAATTTTTGTTTCTGTTAAGATTTAAGATTTGCACTTTTGTTGTTTGGTTATTTTTATTTTGCCTCTAAAAGAAGTACGTAAATAATTTTTTATGTATATACGTATACAATAGAAATTTCCCTGCTCTCTTTCCAGCAGCTAATTTACGAATTTTGTACTGATTGGAGATTCCAGCTGTAATAGATTCACTGTGCAATAAATATACTTTTCTTTCATCAGGATAAATGAGCGCTTTTTTTAAAATTCGTTTTGTGTAAAACGAATATTTTGCTTAGTAAAACCTACATTACTTAGTTATACCTACAAAACCTACACATTCCCTTTTAATCTTATAGAATGTAGCATGGTGTACTTAAGTTATCATTAAGCCTAAAGCTGCGTCCACGTTTCAATGCGAATGATCTGAGTGGCGCACAAAATAGTGGGTCTTTGGTACCACAGGTTTCAGGTTCGAATCCTGGAGGTGGCATGAATGTTTGTAAGTGGTTTGGAATCCACATTTAGCTGTAGGTCCCGATCTAATTAGCCTAAAGTGTGCAAAAAGTGATCGTAGAGCGGCAAAACCAAACCAAACAAAAAAATTGGTTTGCTACTATTCAGATGGAAGTCGAAAAGCATGTTGTTTTGCTCGCTAGGAATCGAAGCAGGTGAACTACCGCTCTGCTTGGTGTCGATCTTGTGTGACGATCAAAGGATTTACGATGAAATTTGTTTTTCAATTCAAACTGAACACACGGAAACAGATGAACGCTCGGCATTATGTTTCAAATGTAGACGAGGCTAGTTAAATATCTACCAGTACAAAAAATATTTAAAAAACATTTTAAGTTATTTTAATTTTAAGATATTTTAAAAATTCTTATTTTATGATTGCTAATTTTAAGCGAATTTTCTCTTCTCATCTAAATTCTAAGAAGAAAAATTGAAAAATGAATGCTTTTAGAAAGAATGATAAGCTATTAATACAATTTCAAATATAATTCAGCTTAAAATACATAATAGTAAAATCGAAATAAAAGTTGATTAGTTTTAGCCATTTCACTTCCCATTGTTTTTATTAATGTAGTTGATATGCGATCATAAATGTTTAATTCAATCAATGGACATGTTTTTTAAAAGAAATGTATTTAAAATAATACATAATAGACATGATACTTATTACTTGACAGAGATAAGTAAAAAAGCAACTTACTAGCTGGGGAATATTTGTGACTCCTGTGTTGTAACCATGTTGGAATGAAGAACCAAAAGCTCCTGCAGCAATTGCAAAAACTAAATGACTTGTTAAACCCTACGAAGAGAAAAGAAACAGTTATAATCTAAGTTTGAAAAAAACTTGGATAAAGGTAAAATATTTTTTTAAAAAAAATTACAAATATGAGCTAAAGGAAAGAAAAACTTAAAACTACCTAGAATGTTTGGCAATAAATGGATGTTGACGGTACTGAATAATTTTTGCAGTAACTAATTAATGGAGTAACTCAGTCAGCAATTTGAAATAAGATTAATATTCAAATCAGTTAAACTGAATTAAATTTCTACATGATTAGAGAAATGACAGTTTGCTTTAGAACATTATGGCGCAATCAACAGTGCAGTAAACTGAAGCATAAATTCAATATTTTACCATCTAGAATAAAAATTGTTAAATTTATGTTTTTGTTTCTTATCCCACTTGGCTAGCCAAGCCCACGAGCCCATATGGACTCATGATTGAAGGGGAAGGAAGCAGCTTCTGTTGTGATGGAGCACCCGTAGGTAGAAGCCTGAGTTTTGCTCCGTGACGCTCTTACAGTCATAGAAGACCGGGACCTACGGCTTAAAGTGGATTCCGAACCACTACAAACATCCATGGCACCGCCGGGATTCGAACCCGAAACCTGTGGCACCGAGCGCCAGAGCGCTAGACACTCGGCCATTCAGGTCCCAAATTTGCCAACGGCACGCAGTGTTCCCAGGTGGTCACCCACCCAAGTACTGACCTCCGCCCAATGATGCTTAACTTCGGTGATCTAACGAGAACCGGTATATTCAGCATGGTACGGCCGTTGGCAAGTTAAATTTATTCATGGTTAAATGCAGTTGTCTTGCATATATATATATATATATATATATATATATATATATATATATATATATATATATATATATATATATATATATATATATATATATATATATATATATATATATATATATATATATATATATATATGTATATATATATACACATATATATATATGCAAGAATATGTAGATATATAATATATATCTATATCTATTTCTTAATTACGTTGTACGTCATAAGCGGGAATCGAATCCTCTTTCCTCTCGTACAAAAGTCTCCACCCAAGTCCATTCAGTCTCCATCCAGTCTTCCTTACAACTGCTCTATGAATAACCAACACATTTATTATTATTAAAAGTTGAAAATTGAATTGTTATTTGACGTAATATGAATTCAATGTCAATTAATTTTTAATTCTTTCGATATTATTGATTATTATTTTTTTTTTATTTCACTGGCGGGTACAAAAGACACAACTGGAACCATGGAGAACAAAACAAACAGAACAGAATAAAACAATATAAAATAGCAAATGGCAACAGAAGAAAAGTTTATGGACCCAATATTATTGATTATAGACATGTATAAATAAATCATACAGACGGTAGCTACTAAATTTATTATGATCAATATTTTGCATTAAATAATTGATATGAATTTAAAAATGGAAATAAATGTTTAAATATTCTTTTCCTTGAGTTTGTATTTCTAAAAATTCAATTATTACAGATAATTAACTATCGTCAACAATACCTCCCACACTATTGCTAAAAATATTATAAAATATATATAATATTTTTACCAATATATATTTATATATATTACTAATTTAATTTTTAACTAAAATTCTTTATTAGTTACATTTATGTCGAAAAATCCAGACTATATTGTGAATTAATATTTGACTATATGTGAGAATATTTTGAATATGTTTTTAAGTAAGTAAGTTTTTTTCGTCTTTTACAATTATTTTTATATTATTGATTATAGATATGTATAAACAAATCATGCAGACTGTAATTACTAAATTTATTAAAATCAATATCTTATGTTAGATTATTAATATGAATTTAAAAATATAAATAAATATTCTTTTACTTGAGTTTGTATTTCTAAAAATTCAATGATTACAGTTAATTAGCTATCGTCAACAATACCTTTCATTGGTCATCACTATTGTTGAAAATATTATAAAATATATATATTTTTATCAATATACGTATTACTAACATCATTTTTAACTAAAATTATTAATTATTTACATTTATATGACCGTTTACTATGTTGAAGAACCCCGACTATAGTGTGAATTAAATAATATTTAATTATATGTGAGAACATTTTCTATTAAAAAAAACAACACTTATAATCAAGAAAAGTGGAACAGGTAAGTTAAAACATCTCATTTTCCAAGAATCTTGCCAGACAATAATAAAACTTATGATCTTTTTTCTTCTACGTATACGTGCGTAGCATCAGCTAACCTATACCACGCTGTCGAAAAAGCACTACAGCTTCCGTCTGAAACCACCCTCTTCCTGATTGGTCCGTTTGCTGGCTGAAACGTGGGAGTGTCTGAGGTGTGCGCGCCAGAGGTCACCTTGACGAGATTTTTCCCTCTTCCAGGCAAAGGGCACGTAATCGATTGACTGTTCTTAACTATGGAAACCGGTGTTTCGCCATCGTCATAAAAGTTGGCAAAATTCCAACAGACATGCCAACTGGAGCATCCATCATGGAGACCGGGATTTCGTCAGGATTTTGCCGGGATCAAAAAGAATGTCGGTTTCCCGTTTAACTCTTTCGGATCGAATTCGAGTGGTTTGCAATGAGTAGGTCGTTTTTATTTCTTTCAATGTTGGTCAAGGACCGGTGGGTTTTTAATTATATTATCAGGTTTGCTTTTTTTTTTTTTTAACTCAGGGAAATTAACTTAGTTTAGGAACATACGGTCATTATCGGTGAAATTAAATTAATTAAAAATTAAACAATCATAACTAACTAAATAAATTTCGGTTATATTAGTAATGAATGTTAATAACGGAATGATTGAATACAAAATTTGTTTTAAAAAAATCTTTTTTTTTAAGGGAGGGAGTGCTATTTTTTACTATTTCGTGAATATTATTATTTCATTTTAACTCTCCAAACAACATTTTTAGAATTAATATTGAGATTTTACAGTTTTTTTTTATTAACGAACATTGTTTTTTTTTTTTTTTTTTTTATTAATGAGCAGTGTTGTTTTTTTATTAATGAACATTGTTTTTTTTTTATTAACGAACATTATTGTTTTATAATATTAATAAGAATCAGAAGAGTGTAAACATTTTTTTTTTTTATAAATGATTATTAAATAATTTGTAAAATATTAATACCATTAAAAAGAATGACAAATGAAAAGCACAATATTTTAGTTTCGAAATTTTCTAGACGAAATCTTTAATTTTTCCTTTCTCTGTTTTAATTATATAAATTTTAGTCTTCTAATGTTTATATGTATATATATATATCTTTTATTTAAGATGTCTATAAAATAAATATTTAAAAAATAAGATTTTGTAAAATAAATAAACTCTTTTGGTTCATCTTTCATTTAAAACATTATCCATCGCTCATTAATCGTGAAACGAACTGAAAAAATTACTATTAGTAGTAATTTATGCAGATAATTTATTTCGATTTTTTTCCTACAAAACCACATTTGATACTACTAATTGAGTGATGAAGATATGTTGAAATAGCAAATTCGATAGAGGGGACTTATTTTATATATATAGTTAAGAGATGGAGTCATGGTTCTCTAAAGCATTCAAGTGAAACGTGCTTTTTCAAAACTTATGAAAACGGATAAATTCGAAAAAGCACACACGATCAATAAGGAAAGTAATAAATATTGCTCTCATTAAACCAGTCTTTTTTTCCCTAATGTTTTTTTTCGAAGGCCATCAGGTTTGGGATCGTTTTCATGCTCTGTTTTGCAAGGTTTCAAGGATTTCGCAACTTAAGGAAAGTCGATAATCCCTAAGAAAGTGCGAGCCCGGAACACTTTCTTTCTTTGGCCTTTCAGTAGAGAATAGAATTTCTATTTATTGCGACCGATATCATTTCGCTTTTATCATCACACCACAATTGGCGTCGTTTCTCCACTTTGGCGAGTTAATCATATTAAAAGATTTTTATTACTTATTTAGTTTTTTTGTAAATTGTTGAGTCTAATTCCACTCAGTTAAGTATCGCTAGCATTAAATCCAAATATTTATTTATTTATTTTTTTCCAGAATCGAGAAATTTTTTGAAACAGCAATTTATTGCAAAAAAATTACAAAAACTTAACATAGTTTATCACTTTTTGTAAAATATTACAAACAACATAAATTATAAAACATTATACAATTTTTTTTTTCTTCAGAGTAAAAAATAGAATTAAATTTTATCTTCAAAACGTTACGTTAATAACAATCAGAAATTTTTTTTCGTAAATTAAAATATTTTACAGCTAAATATTTGAATAACTTTAAGAAACTTTTTTTTCTCTTCAAAAATCTCAATTATTAGAAAGAAGAAAATATGATTCTAACTTTCTTAAATCAAATGATATTTAGAAAATTAAACCACTAATTAAAATTGAACAACTATTTATAGTAAAAAAATATAAGTAGATTAGCTAAAAATTCAAAAAACTTATTTCTAACATCTTTAATTACGCCGCGATACTATCATATATTAAATAATTTATCAGTTAAAGATATCAAAAACCTTAACAATAAAGGGAAAAAGTGATGCATCAAAAAAATATTTTTTAATAAGCCTTATCATTTGTTTTAAACAATTTTTCTTGTATTGAGTAATCGGCAAATAACAATAATTGTAAAAAGTGATAGATCAAAAATATTTTTTAATAAGTCTTATAAAGAGTTTTAACAATTAACAAATTAATTAATTAATTTTAAACAATTTTCGGCAAATGTCATAACACAAAAAGAAAGATGTTAATCTAACATTTTTATTAACTAACTAACTCCTCGGCACTACTTGGTTCGGAATCCATGTTAGACTGTAGATCCCTGTCTAATTAACCTAAAGTGTGCACAACAGGACAGTAGAGCAACAAACCAAACCAAACCTCGGCACTACAGTCCATGTTGGACTATGTTCGTCTGCCTACTGACAGATTCCGAAACAGGAGATTCCTTTTTAAGGTGTAGGGTTGTCAATCCTACGTCGAACGCTCATATTAGACCAGGATCTACGGTTTAAAGTGGATTCCGAACCACTATAAACATCCATGACACGAACCCAAAACCTGTGGCACCGAGCGCCAGAGAGCTAGCTAATCAACATTTACATTATCTGATAATAAATCGTTATGAATAATTTTGGAATTTTGCAAATTTCAAACAAAATCTATGATAAAGCTTGAATTAATTCTAGAATTTATAGTTAAAAATGGGGATGGCAGTAAAAAAGAAATAGTATTGCATTATAGTTTCCTAGCTACAGTTTGATTTGGCTTGTCGCTATACTGTCATCTTGTGCACACTAGGGCTAAACAGACCAGGACCTACGATTAAAGTGGATTCCCAACCACTAACAAACATTCATGACATCACCAGGATTCCTAGCTACGGATCAATGAAATTTTTTTCAAAAGGAAACCATGCCGAGACCAGACTAATCGCTCTTTCTGAAGCACCAAACCGTGAAGTTGTTGTTCCCAGACGAAATTTTACTGTTGTTGTTTGGTAGAGACGGGGGTCGAAACCCAAATACACAGAGAAGCCAATGCCAACGCTTCACATCCATAGCTGGATTTTTGAAGAACGTAAACAAGTTTTACTCATCCAAGCGTTTTGTTGGATAATCAATCAAACTCTGTGGAGTAAGCCACGATGAATGAAGGCAATACTCTGCATCCGCTCTTCTCCTGCGGCTATTAATAGGAAGAAAAAAATGAAATAGGAAGCGGAGGAATCTTTCAT